CCAGGCTCGACATTGTCAGCACAGAGCCCAACGTGGGGCTCGAACTCACAAATCGTGAGATCATGACCTGAGCCAAAGTCAGATGCCCAAATGACTGAGCCACCCAGGCACCCCAGAGTCCAGGATCTTTCCTAAGGCAATTTTGCTTATTCTCTGGTCAGTTAGTATGGAATATGTTGTTATAAATACGTATTTCAATTATTTTTTAGATAATGAAGTTTATAAACAATGACTTTGCCAGAAGTGGTACTTTTATTTAGATTTAGTTTTTAAAATGTGTCACCTATTTGGCTTTTGCTACATGGCAGAAACTCAGATTCCATTTTGGACAGTTGCTTGGTGAAGCATTGTACGGGTTGTTTTTTGTTTTTTGTTTTTTGTTTTTATCAAATGCTTCTTCTAATCTGAGACAAATGAAATCTACCAAAGTACTGCTAGTTCTTCCAGAAATAAAAGGATATGAACATTGTGGCACCAATATTAAGAGTTCATTATTGAATATCTGTAAAAAACTTTTTTGAGGTGATGAGCCAAAACACACATAGATCAAATGTATAGACCATTTGAAATTGCAGTATAAAATGCAAATCATTCAACTTCTCATGGGAGGTTGGAAAGGATTAACTGTGGACCTGTAACTCCCTCAGTCAAGCATTCTAGAAGATGAGACAAAGAAGGGAGTATTTAAAAGGCCTCAGTTAATGTGCACCTAAAAGCAGCTGCCTCCTGCTAATTATATGAGAGGACATGAGAAAAGGTGACCCAGAAATGGAGGTGCGGCAGAACTAGTCAATATCTATGCAGTATGAGGAACAAATAAGCCCTCAGAGAGCGTAATAAAGGAACCAGAGTTGCCTGGGCAACCCTAGGATAGCTGGGGACCTGGAAGCAACTTGTACCTACTTATCTGCTAGTCCAAGGTCAGACTAGATGCTCCAGTTTTATCACCCACTAGAGAATAATGAGGAAAAGTGCACCCGCTTCTAGCAATGTTAGGTTCCAAATACACCAAACTACCTTCGTTGCCTCCCCAAACTATCACTTTCTCATATTCCATTCCAGGTAGTTCACAAATGCCATGCCCTCACCATGAGTACAGCCACTCCCTTTACTCTTCTTAATTGTATCATTAGAGTAGGTACTATCACATTTATTGTTAACATTCCCTCAGTAGCCTAAGTAAGTACAAAACAAGCCACATCAGATAGGATATTTTGGCTCCACGTAATTCTGAGCTAAACTCATCTGGCATACAGATGAGATCATTTATTATCTCACATACCAAGAAGTCCAGAGGCTGTGAGAGCCTCAGTCTTAGTATCACAATGATTCTGTGGGCCGTGCTTTTCTCTAAATATTGCTTACATTCTCAAACAGATAGGATTGTCCCTAGTTTCATATCCAGGCAAGAAATCATGGAGGAAACAAGGGACCTCTCTTCTAGTACTCCCTTTCAGGAATGAGGAAACTTTTCATCGAAGCTTCCTGGCAGATGCCTCCTCTGCCTCTCTTACCATAATTGGCTTATGTGTCCATTCATTGATTAGCCAGTTACAAGGATGATGGGATTATTCTGATTGGCTTAGACAGTATAGGATCCTCTCCCTGCATCTGGGGATGGGGTCATCCACCTGAGTGGAAAAGAGAAGGATGTACCAAAACCTAACTCCAGATTCTGCTGTGTAGATAAAAGGAGAGAATGGATATTGAATGGAGAACCAATAATGTCCAATACATACTCCTCAACAAAATTGTTGACTGAATATAAATGAGTAAACAACAAAGATGTGTTCATTTCATTTTACCAGTTTGTGCCTTAGTTTTTCCTAAATAGAGGGGAGTTCAAGATATTAACTCATGTAAGAACAATGCTAGTCACAAATTCAGATCATTGTTAACAAAATGTTGCAATTCTAAAAATTTATATTCCTTTGTCAAAGTCGATGTCTTTCACTGTATTTCTCCACACCATTTCAATGCCGGTATACTAACTTCTCAGCGGTCATCCTAGTGATATATGGATTTTAAAGAAAAGTAATCATGGGGCACCTGGGTGACTCAGTCAGTTAAGGGTCCGACTTCAGCTCAGGTCATGATCTCATGGTTCATGGATTCGAGCCTCTCATTAGGCTTTATGCTGACAGCCCAGAGCCTGGAGCCTGCTTTGGATTCTGTGTCTCCCTCTTTCTCTGCCTCTCCCCCATCCACGCTGTCTCTTTCTCTCAGAAACAAACATTTAAAAAATTAAATTTAAATTTAAAAAAGTAAAGAAAAGTAATAATCAAGATTTTACACATAGATATTGTGGAAGTACTATCATATCTAATATGCTCATTGGAGTTTGGGATCCTGAATAAGACTTTATTTTTTAAAATTAATTAACTTTTGAAAGAGAGAGTGTGCATGAGCAAGGGACAGAGAGAGAGAGAGAAAGAGGCAATCTTCTGGTATGCAGAGGGAGAGAGAGAGAGGGAGAGAGAGAGAGAAGGAGACAATCCCCTGGTGTGCAGAGGGAGATAGAGAGAGGGAGAGAGAGTGAAGAGCCAGGAGCAGGGCTACAGCCTACCCCAAGTAGGGCTTCAACTCAGGAACCTTGAGATCATGATCTGAGCTGAAGGTGGATGTTTAACAAACCGAGCCACCCAGGCGGCCCCTAAATTAAGGATTTAAATTTTCATGGACTGTAAGTATTCAGCAGCTTAGCAACCAGTCAATTATTGACCAATAGGAAAACTTACATGAGCTTATTTACTTATCCAGTGAACACTGGATTTCTGGATAAGGTATCTTCTCATTGCTATATGAACTAAGTAAGTCTATTTTTTTTTTAAAGAACAAAGTTAAATGATGATGATTTTGGAAATAATTTAGTGAGTTTGTTGAATGTAAATAACCAGGCACGTGAAGAGAATTCAGCCTCCTCCATTCCTTCCCCACGCACTGCCCTTCAGAAACAAAAGAAAGTAAAATAGTTGAGAGCATGTACAATCCTTTCCTATGTATATAATATATTTTAAGTCAATTGTGTGAAAATTCAATGACTGGATATGGGATAGTGCTCACTAACACAAAGCAAAAATATTTAAAAATCCCTAATTATATCTCTCCCTGTAGACATATTGCTGACATTTGTACATGTTCTTTCCTTCAAAGCTGAACGCCGCAAAAGGCACACATGAAAAACAAAGATTAGTCACTTTTGCCACGCTTTTGATGATTTCCATCTTTCTCTAATCAGAGGTCGTACACTGTGACCCAGGATAATTTTGGCAGAGTGTTTAAAAGAGTTTTAAACTTGTGTGCCCTTAAGTGGTGCGTGCACTTTCCATTCAGTTGCTAGTCGCCTGGGCCTTGAAGGTAATTGTGTTTGTTCTCCTAGAAATGATTTCAAGCTTATGAGGCTTACGCTTACACTGAATATGAGAAGCACTTTCATTTTCCATTTCCCACTTAGTTAGTTAATAAAAACAGAGAAGGCCGAAAATGCCATGTAATATTGAAATGCTTGTATAGACATGGCTGCTCAGGGATTCGGTGCTTTGAGTCAGGCCTACTGCTGAAAACTGAAGTTTTTTTTTTTTTTTTTAATTTTTATTTATTTCTGAGAGAGAGAGAGAGAGAGAGAGAGACACAGTGTGAGCAGGGGAGGGTCAGAGAGAGAGGGAGACAGAATCTGAAATAGACTCCAGGCTCTGAGCTGGCTGTCAGCACAGAGCCCGATGTGGGGCTCGAATGAAATTTTTTCTTTTTAATCAGCTTGTGTCTGAATGCCTAAATTCAGAATGTTAAAATTTGATCATCAATTCATAATCAACAAAACGTAAGCTGTTGGAAAGTCAAATTTTTGAAAGTTGAGAATAACTGACTAACTCTAAGGATTGTCTTGGTTTGCATTTTAGTTCAGGTCTGCTCTTTGTCATGGGGAGAACTCTGGAGCCCCAACCAGAAACCCACTATGGGGGAGGCAGGAGGAGGGAACTCCCTCCTAAACCCTAGCCTCCAAGAGAAGCTTTAAGGGCTACTCAGTGACCTTGAGGAGAGTTCCCTGCAGTTGGGGACACAGTGGCACTTCCTGAGAAAGCTAGATCAGCTTAGGTCACTGGGAGGTGACCACCCACTTGGCTTCTGACAGCAGGACAGAGGTGTGTGAGTGCTGGGAAGTGCATGCCAGACCACTGAAGGAATACTGATCTGGGGTACTTTACAAGGAATCCTGCCCAAGAGAGTGGTTTGCCACAGCCCAGCCGGAAACTGTCAGTTTCAGGTACCCCTGGGATAAAAGGAGAGGAGAACTCAGGAGAGGCCAATGAAGAGGAATTAGAGTTGGAGAAACCTGCTTTGGAATAATCCATTAAAAGAACAAAAAGTTGACTTTGCACATCTGTTACTACCAGAGGGTACAGATCACATGAGAACTTTGTTTCTCCTTTGCCTTTCTTCCACGCCTCCGCATTCCATACCCACCTGGATAAGGCTGGGGAGAGTGAAAGGAAAGGAAAAACGGCCAGCTACACCTTCCTAGCTAATGAAAAGGTTAGGTGGCTCTCTGCGGTCAGTCCCAGCTTGATAAAGCAGGGGACGTAGGTCGATGTCTCGTTTACAAATAAAGACAGGAAGTGGATTAATACATTCTCCTAGTAGATATTCTAAATTCCGAACCAGAGCCATGACTAGGATTCAAATGTAAGATTGTGAATTACATAAGAGGGGTAAGTAAGTCATTGAGACTCCCCAAGTTTTCTTCTAGGAGTCCATGAAAAATTAGCCTCCACTCGACAGTCTTGACAACACATAAGAGACTAAACTTGCAGTCTGATAACATCTCACAAATTGTGCTATTCAATACACTAGTGTATGTATGCGTGTGTGTATAGTCTCTTACTTGAGATTAAATTAGGAGTATAAAATATTAATACTTTTAAAGATTGACTTCTTCAAAAACATGAAATTAAGACAATGATTTAATTTTAGAGCTATTTAAAGATAAAATATAACCCTACCTTGTTGTGATGTAGCCATAAGTATTTTAATTTTTTAAACCTAGAGAGATCAATGACTTCTGTCAGGTCCCTGGAAAGGAAAGAAAAATGAACATTAGTAATGACTAATTTAATTTAATTTAACAATTAATTAGCAACAGTTAATTTATCCATGGGTATGGCTGGTTATATAGTAGGACTTTGGAATAACTATAAAGGCTTCTCTTTTTGTTCTTTTAAAGTTGTTGGCATACCGACCTACTAATTTCCAAAATACCATCATTAAACTTCATTCATTTGAATTAAAATTTGCCAGCAATTTAAAGGTAATACTTAAGGAAAACATTTTATCACATTCCTACAAATTTACACCTTATTATGGTTATATTTATTGGTCCACAATAAAAAAAGTAGAGTTGGGGGGCACCTGGGTGGCTCAGTCAGTTGAGTGTCTGACTTCAGTTTAGGTCACGATCTCACAGTTTGATGAGTTCAAGCCCCGCACTAATCGCTGTGCTGACAGCTTAGAGCCTGGAGCCTGCGTCAGTATCTGTGTCTCCCTCTCTCTAGTGCCCCTACTCAAATCCTTTGCTCTATCTCTCTCTCTCTCTTTCAAAAATAAATAAATAAATAAACATTTTTAAAAAAAGCTTTTACTGGGAACAGGAAAAAGGGGAAAAAGTAAGTGTGGAAGACCTTGGACTTGCACATAAATGTGGAAAACACTATCGGCTCCTACTTCCACAGTGTCTGCCAGGTTCTTACTTTGGGGTTGTCCAGATCTTGGCCACCTTGTAGTTAAAACATGGAAATGGCAGTATGTCAAAAGACAGAGACTAGGTAAAGTGTGTTATTCTTTCTTTGTTGTTTATTAAATATGGGATCAAAATATTACCATCTTTTGAATTATGCAGGTGGTCCTGAGTCCTGTTGCTGATGCTGTTCACTCAGCAAAGGGATAGGCCTGGGATGGGAAGGGGGAATTATTGAAGTAGCCAAAACCCTGAGGATAGCCGGCCCTCTGCTGTGGGCTGGAATATTCAGATCTCTTCTACTTCTTTTGGCAGAAACTGTGTGCCCAGGCCAGGTATGTACACATGTATGTCTCTGTTTATTAGACCCTTATAGAGCACACACACTGTGTCAGGTACTTTTTTAAGCCCTTAAAAATGTTAATGTTAATTAATGTTACATATATTAACTCATTTGTGGTAATATCCTTTCACATGTTTTTGTTTTATTTTTAACTTTGAGACGTTGAGGGACTAATATTTTCCTAAGTTTTGTGAAAACATATTTTTTAAATCATGCTCACAACATTTCTAAGCAAAAGAAACTTTCTCACCAACTTTTGATATTGAGATTTCAAAATTCAGAAAAGCTGAAGGAATAGTACAATGAAAGCTTGGGTAGCCCTCACAATTTTTAATGTTTGGCCATGACTCTGTTGCCTATATACAATCTAAATAATATATGTACTTATTGTTTGATAACTTTCTTGGTGAGCCATCTCAGCAAAACTTTCAGACATCATTGTAGGGCTCTTTTTTTTTTTTTTTACAAATAGTTTATTGTCACGTTAGTTTCCATATAACACCCAGTGCTCATACTCACAAGTGCCCTCCTCCATACCCATCACCCCCTCCCCCCCCACTCCCATCAGTCCTCAGTTTGTTCTCAGCATTCAAGAGTCTCTCATGGTTTGCCTCTCTCCCTTTCCCCCACCATTTCCCCCCTTCTTCTCCCCCATGGTCCTCCGTTAAGTTCCTCCTAATCCTCCTATATGTGCAAACATATGATATTTGTCCTTCTCTGCCTGACTTATTTC